GGGTGCGAATCACAGCCCATGACGATGGGGAGTACAAACTCTAAGTAGTATTGTAACGACCATGTGTTGCCCACGCATTACAATCACTCTCTTAGCCTGCCTGGCTAGTTGATTTCACAGGAAAAGCAACACCAATAAATTAAGAAATTAATTAAGTAACAGAAAGTGTATTGATCGGCACTCATAGAAAGAAGTAGAAAGATAGAACACACTAGACAACATAAAAATCGAAAGCTATAGTTACCGTACCGGGAATTGAACCTGTCACCTCCAGGCGGCGTCTGCGCCTCGCCATGGATACAAGTGCACTAAGAACATGGTTAACTAGGCACCTCCCAAAAAAAAGGTGTCTTATTGGCCATGTCTATCGTACAGCTTGAAATCCACAATATATTTAGAGAGAGGGGGGAAAAACTATGTCCGAAAAGCTGCCAGATCAGAAGAGCAGTGCTTTGTCCGCTCAATTCCTTCTCTGTTTATGCATAGAGTAGGTCTTGATCGGCCTGTCGGAACTTTCCTCCTAGTCCAGCTGCCATCCACGGCTAAGGACCTAGTCTGGCCTGCCATAAAATTAAGTTTTTAGGTTGCATTTTTCCTTCCTCGGATAAGGCTAATATCCTCTCCAAATGCACCCCTTCTCCCGACGCCGTAATTACAATGTATGTGTGTCTATGTATGTGTGTCTATAGTATTAGTCTATACATTGAAATGGTTCGGTCACTTGGTGAGAATAAATTCAACGATGCTCCAGCGAGAGCATAAAGAATAAACTAAGAGGCAGAGGAAGACATAAATGAATATAGATTGATCAGCCAACGACATCTTAAGACTTCACTACATACTAACCAACTAAGCGTTCCCTAGCTCTTTTACCTATGATCTTTGAAACTATGACGCATATCAACATAAAGTATATATAATATACAAACAGACAATGTATTGATCGGCACTTATAGAAAAACATAGAAAGATAAAGGACACACTAGACCCCCCAAAAATATCAAAAGCAAGGGTTTATTGCACCGGGAATCGAACCTGTTACCTCCAAATGACATATGCGCCTCGCTATGGAAACAAATGTTCTAAGAACATGACCATCTAGGACACCGCAAAAATATGTCTTCATTGGTCATGTCTATCGTACAGCCTGAAATCCACAACTCAGAATTCATCTAATTGAAATGCCACCAGAGGTTACAGAAACTTTCTATTAACCCAGCATAGGTTTAATAACAATTACAACAACAATTACAAACATGTCGTACAGTAACGCTTGTCTAGAATTCAACAAACATTTAAGAAAGAGATTTGATTGGTCGGTTCCATTTTGTTACTCTCTCTCTCTCTCTCTCTCTCTCTCTCTCTCTCTCTCTCTCTCTCTCTCTCGTTGTGCCCCACCAGGACATAACACAAGCGATAAACAACTGGTGACACAAAGTGCCACCATGCGGATGAGGATCACCCGTGGAGAGGTCCCAGAAACCCATTTCAGCCGTTAGAGCACCCGGCAATTCCAAGGTGGAGCTTGAAATAACGACAAATTGGGTCGCACACGGGGGATGTCTGTGTTCTAGACACAATTCACATAAATAAAGAGAGGATCTTTCATCGTAAAGCGGTTATCGACAAAAGAATAATGAATTACACTCCCATGAAATCAACAATCATTTTCCGTAAGCTTCTTATTTCTCTGGTAACAATAAAACGCCAGCGGGATGAAACAATCCTGATTATCTCAGTCCTGGAAATAACGGATTCTAAAAAAGGTAACCACATGCCACAATGAAGGTTATTTGAATCTCTGATCCCCTGATATTAGATCGCCCTGTAATTGTGGAACAGATTTCTTCAGGCGATTGATTGTTCGTCTGCTAATGGAAGAAGGTTGTCGAATAACTAATTTCGACTGAACATTTCGGAGTCTGAATCCTGTCGATTTCAGTACTGAATACTGCGTCCTTGACACAAATATCGATCGATCGATCAGTTTATATCCTGCATACTGTTGCCTAAAAAATTACCACACCATCCTAAGGTTTAAAGAAAAAATCCTGTGTCCTAACTGCATGCCATGAAGGCAGATATGTTCAACCCCGAAAAAAATATATAATTAGTGTTCCTGTAGCAGCTACACCAACCATATGTAGCCTTCTATTCCATGTTTGATGAAAACACCCCCTTTTTAGGGGTGTCTAGCTGCTCATGTTCTTAGTACACTCGTTTTCATAGCGAGGCGCACACGCCATTTGGAGGTGACAAATTTGATTCCCGGCATGGTAACTTTAGCTTCCGATTTTTATGTTGTCTAGCGGGTCCTTCCATCTTTCTACTTCTTTTTATGAATGCCGATCAATACATTATCCGATGAAGTGCAGCAGGGGAAGATCGGGGACTGGCTTCATGACCCAGGTCGGCCCAACTTCGGAGATTGTATAGTAAGCAATGGGTCGAAACAATCGTCGATGAAGGATCTGTCTACTGATGATCGGTGAACCCCTGCTTTTTATGCTACCCTGTGGAGTTCTTCTTATTGTCTGTCTGTTTGTTATAAATATATATATATATATATATATATATATATATATATATATATATATATATATATATATATATATATATATATATAACAGTTCTATGTGGGTAGTAATTCTCCTTGATACCACAAAATGCTACATCTTCCCCTTGAATGTGTGAAAGAAGCTGTGAACATGAATCGCCTGTGGGGACAAGAATTTGTTCTCCACAACCTCTTAACTAAGTTTCAGTTATGGTATTGAGTTAGCTAGAGTGTGTTTCAAAACTCGTGCCCTAACACTCCAACAAATATCTCGAAAACTCCTGTACGAATCATCGCACATTTGTCCTTAGTGTCCCTAGCTTTGACATGGCCTTTTTATTCTGACATTTGCAATCCCACACCTGCTGCTGTTTTCTTAAAGAGGCGAATTTCTTTGATCTTTGTTTGATAAATAAATTGTGTACCTGTAAAAATAGAATACACGGTAATTGACACATGTATGGAGACTGTCTGGAAATCAGTTCACATGTGTAGCGATGCGAGGTGATTATTTTGACCCCAAAAAAAATAAAAACCACACGCACACACACGGAGAAGAAGAAGAAGAAGAAGAAGAAGAAGAAGAAGAAGAAGAAGAAGAAGAAGAAGAAAAAGAAGAACAAGAAGAACAACAACAACACATGGGAGACTAATGCTGGAGATGACCAGCTGAGAGTAAACCGCCTATGACAACAGTACAGTCTGATGTTTTGAAAGGTTCCCAATAACTCAGTTAACTGTAAGCAAGCTGGTTGTTTGCTTTGAATCGGTGTCTGTTTTTTCATGTACCGCAAATAAGACCAAATGAAAACAAGATGTCTTGTTTAGTTTAAAAAAAAAAATTCTTACAAGGACACGATAATTAACAAGTTGCATGATAAATCGTGACACCTTACAAAGAACTTGATGTAAGAATGAAATAATGTAAGAACGGAGGGAGACCTCGAAGGGCAGGATATTAACGGGCCTGCGTGCCCAATTCTCAACCCTTTAAAAATAAAGTTTGTTCGTTTGTTCGCTCGGTTACTCAGTTATATTTTTTTTACTGAAGCAGACTACAATTCCGCATCTACAACAAAATACAGTTTTAGTCAGCGTAAAGAAGCATCTCTCGTAATTCCGTGGTCCCGGGCTCGATCCCAGCTGCGGGCCTTGCGCATTGCGTTGGTTTTTGACAGTGGTATTGAGAAGCCGACCGTCCAGAAGCAATGACAAACTACTATTTGCCTATAAAAACCACAACAGCCAAAAAATGCTAAGGTTGGTTCTACAATGTCCTGTAAAGGATACGCAACTAACTTCAACTTTAAAGAAGCATCTCGTACAAAGCGTATTCGTTGCAAACCCTTGGCTACTAGTGGCAGGCATGGCTACCATAGAAAAGTTCAAATAAGCCATCAAGAACAAAAAAATATGCCTTGAAAAACCGCAGAAGTAACCAAAGGAGATAAAATTAGGAATGAGGTTATAAGGGAGAACAGTAGATATATTATTAAAACTAAATTAAATTCAAAAACAGAAAATAAAATCGTGCCTCTACATTATTATGTAGCAGGTATTTTGCAGAACGTCGCTCTCATCACTGTCTGTTGGGAGGAATTCTCTTGGCACATCTTCAGCCCTGTGCAGGTTACTACCCAAGATATCACATGCCCATCTTCGTGCTGGTCGGCCCCTGCCCCTCATTCCTGATACCATGAAGTCTGCTACTATTATAAAATGGTCTTTTTAAGCCATTTATTTTCACAATTTCGGATATATCCAAACCCAACAAACGTGTTGAATGCTTTTGGCAAAGTAAAACACTTAAACTTTTAAAACTGTAAAAGGACGTTATGTAAGACATTATTGTGAACTAGCTCGCTTACTTACCAGATACGCCTGGCAAAACTTTAAGGGAACAGATTCAGGAACACATCAGAGGGACCATGGACAAAATAATGAGAACGATCCGGATTGAGGATAATCCACCAGGAAAACAGCAGGGGTATAGGGATAGAAGGAACACATTGGGACACAGACAAGTCTATCTCTGAACAAAAGATAGTTAAGCCAGAGAGCAATAAACCAGACCACGAATATAACCATAAAACCAGAAAATGTTAGCAGCTAGCTGCCAACAGCAGGTTAAACGTGGTCGAGTTTTTTCTTTCTTTCTTTCTTTCTTTCTTTCTTTCTTTCTTTCTTTCTTTCTTTCTTTCTTTCTTTCTTTCTTTCTTTCTTTCTTTCTTTCTTTCTTTCTTTCTTTCTTTCTTTCTTTCTTTCTTTCTTTCTTTCTTTCTTTCTTTCTTTCTTTCTTTCTTTCTTTCTTTCTTTCTTTCTTTTCTTTCTTTCTTTCTTCTTTCTTTTTCTTTCTTTCTTTCTTTCTTTCTTTCTTTCTTTCTTTCTTTCTTCTTTCTTTCTTTCTTTCGTTCTTTCTTTCTTGAAGGCAATTTAAACTGAGGTTATTTATTCTTTTCTCTGACTGCGCAGGAACCAACCCTGTGATGCAGAATTATAGGACTATAGAGCTAAGGCTGCTCAGCAAGGACTCGTGCCGCAGTGTTTCTTCTTTCACTTCCACCGACACCAGTTTCTCCGGGACCATCACTCCACCCAAGAACATCTCTCGTTCTGGTAAATATATTTTACTGTTTAATTTAAAACACAGCGTAAAAAAGTTGAGGGGTGGGGTGGGTTAAAATCATTTTTTACGCCTTTAAGCGTATCGGACATATGGGAAGATCACTTGGTGGGTAATTTGATCAGCATTACGCCAGCCGTCTTTACTTCTCCAGGACAGCCATCCTGGTCCCCATTTTGGGCTAGGTCGTCATGCCACGCCCCATACCAGGATAAAAATCTACACAGCCAGCAGTGGGTTTCTATCGGGGCATGTTGGAATTACTAGTCGGACTCGCAACGTCTAAGCCACTGACGCCGCTAAAAAAAAATGTGGTTACTGCTTAGTTTACCGCTTTCGTAGCTGTGTAGAACAAGGGCTGGGTTCTCACGTGGAGGACCCGGGTTCAAATCCTCGGTAAGGTTGTTGAACTTTTTTTCTGTCTGGGGAAAGAAAGTAATAATCCTAATCTGCATAGTCCATGGCGACAGCACTAGCCATGCGCCCATAAATAATCAGAACTGACAGTCTGTATATAAATAAGCCAGATCTGTAAAACAGATATGCATGCAACAACCAGGTTCTAAAACAAGACTAGTGTCCAGAGGTGAACGAACAATCAAACTTTCCGCCGGAGTTTACAGCCATTTAACGCTACGAAGAAGAAGAAAGAAGAAGAAGAAGAAGAAGAAGAAGAAGAAGAAGAAGAAGAAGAAGAAGAAGAAGAAGAAGAAGAAGAAGAAGAGAAGAAGAAGAAGAAGAAGAAGAAGAAGAAGAAGAAGAAGAAGAAGAAGAAGAAGAAGAAGAAGAAGAAGAAGAAGAAGAAGAAGAAGAAGAAGAAGAAGAAGAAGAAGAAGAAGAAGAAGAAGAAGAAGAAGAAGAAGAAGAAGAAGAAGAAGAAGAAGAAGAAGAAGAAGAAGAAGAAGAAGAAGAAGAAGAAGAAGAAGAAGAAGAATAAGAAGCAGAAGCAGAAGCAGAAGCAGAAGCAGAAGGAGAAAGACTTGCTTGCATACAATGCTTAAATGTACTTTAATACTGCTATACGGAATTATTTACTGATGTCTATAAAAATAATAATAATAATAATAATAATAATAATAATAATAATAATAATAATAATAATAATCATAATAATAATAATAATAATAATAATTTAGAAACTGATTTCTAGAGTTAAAAAAAATTCTCAGAAACAAGAAATGATATATATCAAATTTCAAGAAAGTGTTTCAAAAAACGGTCACATTAAGAAATAATCACTGCCCTATGGTCCTCTGTTGACTATCAAATCATTATTATAACAATTTTTAATACTGAGTTTTAATATGAAATCAGGAGCCACCGTGGTGTAGTGATTAGATGCTTGCCTGCGGATCCGAAGATCGTAGATTTAGGTTTTGAAGTAGCCGGCCTTTTTTTTTTTTTTTTCAATATATTTTGTTTTTTGATTTTTCAGAAATAATCTTTTCTCTCAGGTCAGTCCTAGTCTGTATGGGTTGAGCTGAGTTAATTCCAAAAACCGACATCACAGCACTCGGGGCATTCCCATAATCATTATGTCCCCATCTTCAGCAGCCAGCGCAGAGTTTCAATACCATTGGTACCAGTAGCAGTTTGATTATATGTTCGTCTTCCCTTTCCTCTAAGCGTCGACTATCGGTTACTTATCACTGCATCACTCTCCCCAGACCATGATGATCAATTTTCTGTTCTGAATTGTAAATGTGCTCCTCTGAAGCCTTAACTAAGTCTGCCTTATCATGCATCAGAATTCCACCAGGCTGTGCAGAGCCACCCTTACTCTCCGCCTGTTCATTTCCCAACACATCGAGATCTTTAGAGAAAAGATCCAGACAATGCTCTTCATCCCTGACCTCAGAAGCGAAGCATACCACTCTGCACGAAGCATACCTGTCATCACCTTCCTCAGCACGCTTTCTGAGTCAGTTACAGTCACTGTCTACTTGCTTTGTTCCCTCTACTTAGTGTGTGCTGATGTTGTGTTCTCTAATCAGCTAAAAGCTGCAGTGACCGCACACCACCACCTCCCCACCAAACCTACATTCTTGAGCTGGGTGTTGTGATATTATATGCTATGCTCTACTGCACCAAACGTCGACCATTAGCTTTTGTCCTAACTTCACCTGGTAACTTTACTAGAAGCGAGAAGCCCTAAGTACCAAGATAAAACTAAGAAAAATAGTTCATTAGGCAGGGGAGTGGGGAGCGACTAAAACATAAATATTCTAGCCCAGACAAGAAATCTTCTGTGTACAGTCTAGATCAGCAGTACAATAAATAAACTAGGCACACTAACCACAAGTCCTAATCTGAACCAGAAACAGAACATCTGTTTATTTCACTTAATATAAAATCAGCGTGGTTCCCAAATAACAACATTCAACAACAACCAACGTGCTCGACCAGAGGCAGAATCTTAAGTGCTAATCATCTCTAGCTAATAAGGAAACAGGAAAATGACACCATACGCTCAGCGAGATTACCTCAACCATGGCAAAAACCAAAACATATTTAACATGTACTTTAAACTTCAATATGCCACCAGACAAACAAATCACTTATAGCGACCTGCCACCTAACTATCTCCTAGCGAGAATACACACCGACATTTCTCTACAGTTTAACCACTAGAGAAATTTCAGATTCAACTATGGAAACATACCACCCCTGCGAAATCAGCCTGACAAACGGCTTTTCCCTGCAGTCGCCCATACCCATGCTGGCTAGCCCACAGTGCAGAGCTACAAGAGCTGGTAGGTCTTCTATAGGGTCTGTCCGAAAGTTAAAAAAAAAGGGCAAAATAGCGAGTGAGCTGGCCTTTTTATACACAGTGGCCAGACTTTTCCGCATTTTTAAACCAGACTAAATCAAGGTAAACATAACCTTTAACGGTACCAGGTAACATCCTGGGGCATAAAGGCGGCTGGCGTAATGCCGACAGCATCACCCACCGAGTACCCATGTGTCTGTAAAATATAGGTCTAGCACTCAAAACACAGTGATGTTACTAACGAAAGAGAGATTTTGTTGATATTTGTTGAATACACAAATAATGTACACACGAATCAGGACCTGAAGAAAAATGTATTAAGAATTACCATTCGAAAAATAAAAATATTCACACGTAGCAGAAGGTATTTGACAATATTAAGAGACGTGTACAGTCCATGTCTTGAGGCCCGTGGTCGGGCATTTCCCAAACCTTTTATAATGAATATTTCATTGGTACTTTTCAGTTTCCCCCAAACAGCGTTAGACTATCGTAAAGTAAATTAAAGGACTCTTTTCCACGCCTTTAATTGTATAGGTCTAGACCTATTTTTTTCTAGACCAGTCGGCATAAGATTTGTGATGTTCTCAGCATCACGCCGGTCGCCTTTACTTCCTTGGATGCCAAATCATTTTTAAAAAGTCTGGCCCCCCGCCAGGGAGCGAACCCACGACCTTCTGATCCGCAGGCGAGCGTCTAGCCGCTCCGCCACGACGACTCCCGTTAGACCATAACAGTAACTATTGTAACTAATTTAATTAGTTTTTTTAGGGCACATTTTTGTGTGACTAGGTTTATAAGATTTGGTCTGCACACAGATTGTAGTGAGACTTTAGAAACACCCTGTACAAATCTTCCTAAATCCACAGGGACTGTGACGACTCCCCCAACAGGCACCAAATCCAGGCGTTCTGTGGGAAACCGAATCCGTCACAGCAACCCTACCAAGATCCGCCAGAACAAGATGAGGGTCATCAGGATGTTGTTCGTCGTGGTCCTGGAGTTCTTCATCTGTTGGACCCCGGTCTACTTGCTGCAGACGTGGATGGTGTTCCATGTACAAAGCGCTTATCAGGTACGCTGGATGTCGCTGGGGGAGTTACAGCTGTTGCTGCAGCTATTGTTCTAGTGTTACCTATAGCATTACTACTAGTAGTACTCTTGCCTTGGTTGCTATTTCTATTCTACTACTACTAGTGCTGTTGCTGCTGCTATTTCTATACTACTACTACTACTACTACTACTACTACTACTACTACTACTACTACTACTACTACTACTACTACTACTACTACTACTACTACTACTACTATTATTATTACTACTATTACTACTACTACTACTACTACTACTACTACTTTTATTACTACTACTACTACTACTACTACTACTACTACTACTACTACTACTACTACTACTACTACTACTACTACTACTACTACTACTACTACTACTACTACTACTACTACTACTACTAATACTACTACTACTACTGTTTGTCTTACAACAGCTTTGATGGGTTTAAAGATTCGTCATAAGACTCTGTTTTCGGAAAAAAAATCTTTTAATAAGGTTTCATATCCCATAGTTATAATACCTATACTTCCTTTCATAAATAATTGCAGTCGCATATAAATACCTTTACAAATACAAGTATTAATGTGAGCTAGGTTCAATGTTAGGGATAAGGATATATATTTTTTTAATCAGAGGCAAAAATACAAATCTTAATCTGCACCAGCCACACGGCCTTAAATTTTCAGGCTCATGACCCTAAATGTGGTCAATGTCACAAAACCTGCCCTGCTTGTTTTTTGCGAATTAAAAAAAAAAAAAATGAAATAAAATAAACATTGTCACTTTTAGGGAGCCTCCCTAAAGGGAGAGCTTTTGGTTATAATTGGGACTTTGCTAATTTGTGCCGTTGAAAATGGCATAAGATTGCTCGCCAGCAAGTAGCCCTGACTCTGGCAGTGTTGACGCCATCAAAGGAGTCGGACCTAACTACTGTCCCGACCGGCAACGAAGACATCTACTGGCCAGCCATTGCGCGACCTGGTCGTCGATGCGCTGTCACTAAACGGTTCGGTCATAGAAGACGAAAATAACAAGCTTGTACCGCTTTTTAACTGCCCGAAGGCCGGTTGTATCGCAGGAGAATTATTAGCTATAAGATTCAATTTTTGTTGTTGTGGTGATCGATTTCGCCTGAATGTCTCTAAATTGTCATTACTGTCTGTTTTACCGCATTTTTTTAAATATCTGTGTAGACATGGGTGCCGTGAGCCTGAGGATTTAGGGCCGCTTGGCTGGTGCTGATACCACGAATTCTGCAGGTTAGAGTGTTACATTTTGCGCCGACAGAAAAACTCCATCACTTTATCGGGAGTCGAACCCGTGTCTCCCGTATGAGAACCCGACGTTGTCACTGCTGCCTGAAAATGGTAAAGGGCAGTAAGGATATTTTTTAAAAAAAAAGTTTATAGTTTAAATCTTGTCTTTTTTTTTTTTTTTTTAAATATCTCAGTCCTCTTTACCAGATTCATAATCTGCTCATAAACACAATTTTAGAGAAGATAACTGGTGTCTCATAATCCACGATTACTTTCCTAAACAGAATTTATATATATATATATATATATATATATATATATATATATATATATATATATATATATATATATATATTATTCTTCTGCTTTGGCCTTCACAAGAGAGGTTGCCCAGTTGGTTGTTACGAACATCTAGGCTGGTATATCTTAGACCTTCAGTTTATCATATCTAATTTCAGAAAAATTCTAATTATTCGCCTTATGCTGCTAAAGAACAATGGGTTAATCATCCCCCACCCCCCCACCCCCACCCCCCCCCCTAATCCCCCATCACTCGCTTTACAAATGGCGCCTCGGAGTCCATATAGGGAGTTCATTGTTTATTTAAATATCATCTTTATCGCCCATCGGACACACCCATAAGTACTTCGAACTCCTCTTGAGTGTGTCTTCAAGTGTTTTAGGCTAACACCTCCCAGTCTGTTTTGGCTAATGTTTTGACAGGTGGCTCCCTCATGGTTTTCCACACACGGTCTGCAGTCTATTTAGTGAAAAACCGTTTTCCACAAAACTGAGTAATATTGTTAAATCTTGGTGCTTGTTTATGTCACCCAGGTGTTCACACCACTGACCAAGACACTGTTTCACCTGCTGAGCTACGTGTCGTCTTGCTGCAACCCCATCACTTATTGTTTCATGAACAAGAAGTTCAGGGAAGCTTTCCTCAGGGTCTTCCAGGTCAGGGCATTTATGGTTTGTGTTGCTTTATTGCTTCGGGGTTGTCGCTACTTCTGTTGCTACACTATCATTACGGCTGCAATAACCAATACTGTTACTTTCACTACCACTGCTGCTGCTGCTGCTACTACAAGAAGTACAGTATGACGACTACTACTACTATTGCTACAACTACTACCACCACCACACCACTACTGTAGCTGTTACTAATAATACCACCACTACTACTACTACTACAACTACTACTACTGCTACAACAACAACAACAACAACAACAACTACTACTACTGCTACAAGAACCTCTACTACCATTACTACTGCTACAACAACAACAACAACTACTGCTACTACTGCTGCTACAACAACTACTACTACTACTACTACTACTACTACTACTACTACTACTACTACTACTACTACTACTACTACTACTACTACTACTACTACTACTACCATCACCACTACCACTATTACTACTATTACTACTGTTGTTGCCGTTGCTGCTGCTGCTACTTTTACTACTAGTACTACTGCTACTTGTTCTTGTTCTTGTTCTTGTTCTTGTTCTTCTTCTTCTTCTTCTTCTTCTTCTTCTTCTTCTTCTTCTTCTGCTGCTGCTGCTGCTGCTGCTTCTACTCCTACCATCACCATTGCCACCAGACCATTAACAACAAAATCAAAAACACTAACAGCCACAACTGCTGCTACTTACACTACTATTAATATCCCTATGTGATTTACCTTACTTTAATGTTCATGATTCAAACCTCTGACTTTTTCAAGAAGATCTTAGTAAACAAATTTACTACATCTCACACATTCTCTCTCCTCAGTGCCGATCTCCCCCGCAGTCGCTGAGAGAGCGAAGACTCCACCAGTTGTACCAGAAACGACTTGAGTATCAAAAAGAGCAGAAGCGTCGAAGCACGGCGGTGTCTCGGCTCAGTGAAAGATTCAATCCTCTGGCCTCCACCACGTCCATGATTCTTCCAGAGGATTCAGTCAGGGTTGTCAAACCCAGCCTGGACACAAGCAAGATAATGAGCCAAAGTCTGGATGAGTTAGATGCAGGCAGCAGTACGGACTGAGGTGCTCTAATAATATTCTACCCCTAGATGACGTCACAGGACAGTCCAATATTTTAGAGGGTGGTAAGACTGGGTTTCCCGGCTTTCTAATGCTTTTAACGACACCAAAACATCCAGAACTTAACCTAATTCTAACCTACCTACGTCCCACGAGAGAGTGTAGCCCAGGTCCCACGACTGCTTGCAGCCTATCTACCACCCCCTGAAATATTAGACTGTCCTGTGACCTGTGGATTTTCCCTGTTTGGGGTAGGATATTAATAAAGCACCCGGACTGATTCTCGATCGTAATTGAATTTCAGGTTCTTGTCTGTCAATACTGCTGGATTCGTCGAATGAAAACATGCATCGGCACTATTTTCAGCAACGTAATCCTCAGTACATTATTTGTACAATCTACATTATTTGATCATGTCACGAGAAGGAGAAAACTGGAGTACATCTTGATGGTGGGATAGTTGAAGGGGAAAAGAGGCAGAGGGAGACTGAAAGAGAAGATTGCATTGTCTTTGAATGACAGACTTATGTCGAAAATAATACCCAGGTACTTCAGTTTGCTTTCTCTTTTAATGTTTTTAATTAATTGTGAGGCTTGGGACATGAGCTCTTACAATTATATCGTCCAAAGAGCACCATAAAACAGCCGCCTTTTCTTAGATGATGACAGGCCCATTTGTGCACACCAGTCAGTCACTTTGTCTACAGTTGCCTATAGCTCGTGGGCTGTCTGTTGCCTATCTCTCCCCCTGCCTATATGCAAAATCATCATCTGCAAATGTCAATATCCTGGTGCTTTAGAAGTGCTCTCAAACATATGGGTGAAATGGAAGATGCTGAAAAATCCGTACCCGGAGAGAATGGTATAGCGTGGAGTAGCTGTGTGCTCTGGGGGCAAATCGAGACTCGGGGGAAAGGCAAGACGAGTAGTTAACCAGATGACCACAGGCACAATCAGTACGGAGACTCTTCGCTGTCTGTTGAGGAGGGAGATGGAACTAATACGGGCTTGTCCTGAGTGCTGTGATGTCGAATCTTCATCCAGATGAACTCAGATCGGCACCCGGTTTGTGGTGTGGTCAACATCCCGCCGGCCACCTTTACATCCGGGGACTGTGCCTGGTCCCCTGTAAGGCTGAGTCGACCTGGGAGCCAAAATTATTTTAAAAAAGGGAAGCCCCTTTAGGGAAAATTGTAAGGAGTATGCTATAATTTAGGCTGCTCTGGTCAAATCATCATCATCATCATCATCATCATCATCATCATCATCATCATCATCATCATCATCATGTAGCAGATCCTTTGCAGAATGTCGCTCTCATCACAGTCTACCTGACAGAAACTCGGTCTCTCGCCAGCTCTCCCGCCTCATGAACTTTCATACTCAAGGAATCACTTATATCCTGTGCCGATCTTTGTGTGGGTCGGCCCCTGCCCCTCCTTCCTGGTATCATGCCTTCTGCTATATTTTTTTCCAGTCCGTCGTGGCGCTTGATATGACCAAAATATTTCAGCTTCCAAGAAAGAATGCTGTTTATTAGCCAATCTTCCTTGATGTTCAGATCTTTTGAGATGTCAATATTTCTCCTCATCTTTGTCCAAGATATTATGAGAATCTTTCTATAGCATTTCAGCTCAAACGCCCCTATTCTCTTTCTTAAAGACTGGGAAATAGTCCACAACTCACATCCGTATGTAGCCACACGGAAGATGCATGCTCTCAAAATCCTAATTTTTTCTAGTCAAATTTCAATAATAATAATAAGTTGACAGTGTCACATGCACATTATGTTCCACGAATGGAACATATACAGTGTGGCGAGTTTTGTGATTATACCACATAAAAAAGACGAGTCGTGCATGGAATTTCTATATCCACCTCTTACGTTTTCCATTGCCAGGTTTGAAGTTTGAGGTTTGAACAACGGATCTACATCATGGCACACGGGTAGTAACCATAAGTGCTCCGCTCTTCTGCTAACTCAAGTCTGAGTCCGAAGAAGCTCAGCACAGTGCACAGGCTCTGTAGCACCGGCGAGGATTCTGAAATACTTTGGGTAAATTTTTTTTACTCCAAATTTTGCCCGGGAAGCGCCGTTATGCTACTCTTCGATTTTCAACCGCCAAGGGATTTTTTTATCTGCGCAACAATGCACAATTTCCATTGCCAAAGAAAAAATGCATTATTACAATACTTATTAAGACTGTTAACTATTCATTACATATACGCCACTCGATTTACGATTTACAGACACAGCAAAAAGAAAGCTTGCTGCATGATTACACCACTCATGCAAAAACTGTAACATGTGACATTTATCAGTTACTAGTACTACGATGTTAACTACGCACGCATACTCTCAACAGCGAAGCGACAAGGAGAAACTTATCCCGTGATACCCTCCCCAGTGTAATCGTTACTTGCTAACGCTTGCACATGCGAACTAACTACGCCTCGCCACTGCCAGATACTATACAGAGCCATGTTTCAGAAATATAATGAGAGATATGAACACTTTGGGGACGACTGAGCCGATCTATCGGTCCCCAGCAGCAAAATAGCCAAAACGACAGCTGGACTGTTATGTTGGCCCGGTAAGCCTTGAGACTGGTTGGCAGCTCTTCATACCAGCCAGTCAGATTTATTCTCGCCTATCTTGCAAATGTGGGATGTTCGATGGCGGTTTTGGTAAAAGTTTGTTGGGTGCTGTAATTTTTAATCAGTTTTGTCCTAACAATGGTACAAAGTAGAACTGTTGCGTCAAAGCAACCAAAGAGGTCGAAAGGCGTTGATATCCCGACCTATCTGTAAACCCCAGCAAAATGTGCCAACCGTGGAAAAGACCATCATCTATTACAGTGTGGGGCTGAAAGAGTTAACGCAACGCTATTCAAATGGAGTGGCAAGTTCATTAATTAGGTTGATGTAATGCATAAAAATAAATTCCTATCAAATTTATTTAAAAGTCCGCCGTGGCTGAGATAAGAACCCATTAGGATCGGCCTATCTGGCAAACAGGCTAGCGACTGCACTAATGAATTTCCTATGCGTCTTCTTCTTCTTGTTTCTAATACTAGAATGCCTCGCTGCGTCAGGGCAGGAAGATATCTCTGGAACGGGCCCTTCTGTTTGCTTCGTTTAAAGTACTTTTCAGTGTCTCTGATATTTCTGTATTCCCACAACTATGAACCTCTTTTAACTACAGTGAAAAGGCTACAAATGCAATGGTATGGACATGTAACAAGATCTAACGGCCTCTCAGAAACGAAACTGCAGGGCTCAGTAGAGGGAAAGAGGAGAAGACGCAGACCAATAAAGACTTGTTTACAGAACCTGAATTACTGGACAGGCCTCAGGCATGCAACCATGAAGTCCATCGCAACTGACCGCCAAAGGTGGAGAGAGCTGATCAGACAGTCAACAGAAACTGGTGACCCAACGACACATTTACTTCCCAAAACATTACCTTGAAGTCGTCCTAGGCTAGGTTGATCAGGTAGCCAGTAGGCCCCATAATGCAGATTCAACCCCAAGATCTTCGGGCAGCAGGCTTGTCGTTCGCCTCTTGCTTGTCCCCACACGTACTCCCAACCTTTAGAGCAACTAAACACCCGGGTTGTTTAGCTTTAGGCTGTGGATGATATTTACTGGGACGGGCTGGTAATTATAGAAGAGCTGCTGGTGAAAGACTAAGGTTATCTTAGGTCGTATCTAAATGTTAGTTAGAACTTCAGGCGGGAAACAAGTAGGAAAGGCGGGGCAAGAGGCAGATCGACTGACGGACGAGATTATAGAAAGAGATTTTTTTTTTTTACTTTGTCGTACCTCCACAATAAAATAAGCTACTGTGTGCCACTTTCATGAATTCATTTTTTACTGAGTTTCAAGGGGATCGTCGTCGGAGCTACGGTGGT